GAGAAAGGGCAGACACGTGCTTTTCCCATAATGGACTATTTTTCCTACCTTGGACTGATACAAGTCAACAGGTTTTCATCTAGCATCAGCCTATGAAGACTCAAGACACGTGAGATGGACTATGTTACCCTTTATATTAGTTAGCATAGTTTCATTTCTTTATTTTTCCAGCTGGAGTGGGGGGAAGTGGAGTGTTCCGTTGGTCTTGAATGAAAATGTACCTACTGAACTATTTTACTATCAACTGAAACCTTTTCTAAAGCAATTCTTTTTAATAAAACAGTAATGATTGATTTCTATCTAGAAGCATTGTTTCTTGTTCAGACTAGCTGAGGAATATTAATTGGCCTTATATGTTCGCTACCAAAGATTTCTAGAGCCCAGATTAATCTGAGTATATCTCATGGTTATGTCTGTGTTGCTTTCTTAAAAAAGGGGATTGGCTTTTGAGGAAGAAATTTAGACAAGACCTGGCTGGGAACTAAGTGGCTCTGCTCAGCAGTTAGAGGTTTGTCTGGATTTCGTACTCATCCCAGTCTCCGGCACCCCCCATAAATCTCTTTGGAGATAAGGGGCTGCTTGGATTTTCCTGTTTCGTGGTTTTTGATCTCATTTATGGGACCAATAACTCACAGTGGGGGAGAAGGCAGGAGCCGATGCCGTCTTCCCCCCCTCCCCCGAGGCTTCTCCCAAAGGGCTGCGCCCAATAGTGGGGGAGAAAACCGGATAATCCGTTCCTATTGGAACGGATTATCCGGTTTTCAATGCATCTCTATGGGAAAACACGTTTCACTTAACGATGTTTTCCCATAGCGATGTTTTTTTTGGAACCAATTAACCTCGCTATGCGAGGCACCACTGTATGTAAATTCTGTAATTTTCTTTTCTTTCATCTCTGTTTGTGAATGATAATGAGTAGAAGAGGAAATCCCATATACCATCCTAACTTTGGTGCCAACACGATTCTGGATGGCTTTGCTGATTAGAGCCTGTCATCATTTTTCCTGCTAGGTTTTACAAATAATATTAAGAATATTAAGAATTCCGTTTGTCACAAAATCTGATTTCAGGAGGTTCCTCTCTAAACACTCAGCAACACTACCCTAGTCTAATACACGTAAGCATAAGGTCAGCATAGTTCTAAAGGATTCACTTCCAGGCACTGCAAAACAGGACAGCAAGTGAGCATAGCACCTCCTGAGAGGTAAACTAAGCCAACTAAAGAAACTTCTAAATTTCCTTGAAGACATTAAATGTCCCATTTCAGATGGTCTGCCAATCAAGCTTTAAGTTCCTTTGTTCATGAAGAGAAGAATTTTTTGTGCCCCCTCCCTTTAAACAGCTGAAATTATTTCCCAATTAATGCAGGACTAAGGAACAAATTGACTTTGCCTTCCAAACTGCCCTCACAAGAGATAAAGTTCAGGTGTGACTCTCTCCTTCTACCTGGGCAGACAATGACTGCCACAATACTTGCCAGCTTTTCCCAGACACTCACAGCGAAGACTGATTTTTCCAGATGGATTCCATATATCCTCCAACTGCTCAGATTCTTTATATTCTGGTATTTTGAATTATGCATAGAAAGCTAATTTCTCACATTCCTTCATAAGGATTGAATCTCCTGCTCATTCAAACTCAGGTGTAATCCTGGGGGATGCACAAATGTTTTTGGAAAACAGGAAGTGGATTTCTAAATAGTACTTTTCCAACCTCCTCCAAATTTGGCACAGATCAAATCCAAACTATCAGCAATCTCTTGGCAACACATAGATGACATTCAAGATTCTCCAGAATGTTAAAGCATTGTTTGGAATGTCCCCTCCTATCAAAAAGGGCTAACAGAATGTTGATTTGACTTACTATGGAATATCAAAGATGCACTTCTTGTGTGCTTATAATATCTCTGATTCCATGTAGGAAATTTAAGTTTCACTTCTGTAAATCTTTTGGCCCAATTTTTTATATGTCAACACCATCTATTACCATAGAAAAGAACTTCCTGTATACAGTGGTGCCCCGCATAGCGACATTAATCTGTTCCGGATTAATCGTCGCTATACGGAAACATTGCAATGCAGGAGGGAAAACCCCATAGAAATGCATTAAACTTCGTTTAATGCATTTCTATGGGGTGAAAACTCACTGCTATGCCAGGTTTCCTCCATAGGGCCACCATTTTCGCCGCCTCAGTAAGCGAGGGCAGCACGGGCAGCCATTTTGGAACCGCCGATCAGCTGTGTGAAAATGG